CGTCCGCAACGAAGACAACGGCAAGAAGCCGGAGAGGCGGCGTCTCAAGACCACTCGGCTCAAGGAGTACACCATCAAGTCCCACTCCAGCATGCCCCCCAACAACACCTACATCAACTTCGAGCGCTTCTCCAAGGTGCTGGAGGAGGTGGCTGCCGCTGAGGAGAGCCTCCGGGAGATGGAGAGGAACAAGAAGTCCTTCCGGGAGGACATCGAAGCCTTGCGCTCCATCTACGAGGAGAAGGAGTCCTGGTACAAGGAGGAGAATGAGAGCATCCGCCAGGACCTGCGCCAGATCCAGCAGGAGCTGCAGAAGACAGAGGCCCTGAAAAAGCAGACCCAGGAGGAGACCAAGAGCACCCTGCTGGTGGCCAACGGGCTCAAGCGGCGCTACCGGAAGCTGGAGAACCGCTATGAGGCTCTGGCCAAGCAGGTGGCCTCGGAGATGAAGTTCGTGCAGGAGCTGGTGTGGTCAATGGAGCAGGAGAAGCTGCAGGGTGGAGAGGGGGACTGCAGCATCCGCTAGCCTTCATCCTCTGAGCTTGTGGGGCTGGGGAGGAGGACCCGGTGGTGGGGAGAATACCTTTGCCATGGCCGGTATGGGGGAGACACCCAATCTGTGCCCACTTGAGCGTCATCTATTCACTAGGAGCCCGAGAGGCTCGGCCTTAATGGCATAAAACCGGAGTAGACTGCAGCAGCGTTTAGTATGCAGGTATGACAGCCTGGACACTGCAACTCCCATCATGCAGTGCTTCTGATCCAAACTGTAGTCTGCTGAGCCCACTGCATGCTGGGACCTGTAGTCTTCCCCCCAATTGCCCCACCATATTAAAGTAGAAGGCTGCCCTATTTATGGGCTGGTCTCCGGCCAGCCCCCTGTTTTGAGGGTATATTGGCAATGGCCGCTTTTAATTACTTGCGAGTGGGCCCAGTCCTTGTCCAAGGACTTGGGCTGTTTTTTACTCTGAAATTAATGAAATCACTTGCTGATCATTCTTAATGTTCCATCTCTCTTCCCCGCTGCCTCTGACCACCAGCAGTGAAGCTGTGACTTGTCTTCTAACTCCCTGCAGCCATGGCTGTGACCATCCTGACCTGGGTACTGTAGCTGCTTGGACTTCTAGAGCATCCTGGCAGCGGGAGCTGCTCTTGCAAGTTCATTAGGCTCTTGCCTGTCTGGGGAGAGAGACCAGCAGGTGTTCCCAGATAAACTAGTTCCGTAGGGCAGAGCTGAACGGCTCAGGGGGGGCCCTTGATCTGTGCATTGATAGCTCCTGACACGTTTGGAGAGCAAAGAGCCAAACCCTTTGGAAAAGGCTTCTAACTGGCCAGTCCGTAACCTGGCTGTCAAGCTCTCCTGACCTGGGCAACTTGCCTTAGCCAACCTCCTTAGCCGGCTCGCACAGGGGCGGCCTGTCTGTACTCTCGCCGGTAGAATCTCTCTCGCCGATTTGCAGGCTCCTCGAGAGCTGTTGCCTCAGCGGCGTGACCTTCCTTCCTTCCTTCTCGGCAACTGCCTTTGTCCCTCAGCGACCCCCAGAGCTGCTTTATCCCCTGGTGTGAGGGGAGGGCTTTAATTTCTTTTTAAACTCTCCAAGCCACTCTGCTGTTGGAAATACGTTTTCTTACGGTTCTGGGCGGAGAATTGCTCACCCTGTGATGATGCTAACCATTGAGACTAGAGCTGCCTCCCGTCCAGCAGTTACTAGGTATAACCTGTGGGGCTTGGGCTTGCTTTAGGGCTGCCGGGCACCGTTCCCAGCCGCAAAGGATGCTCTGGAACGCTAGGGCGTCCTCTCCGTGATCCTTGCCCTCTCCCAGGGTTTCATTTGCACCTCACTCGATCCTGGCCACGGAAGAGACTGGCGGAGCAGTCCTGAGCCAGTGCTGGGTTGTAGAATTGGAGAGTTGAATCGTTTTTCCCCCTAATGAGGGCAGGGTTTGGCCTTCTCCTGCCACGCTTCCTCCCTGCTGGCCTCCATATCAAAGACCCCGCTTTATTCGAGGCAGGAGAGCACTGGGAGTCTAGGATCTTGAACCCAAGCAGGTGTCTTCCCAAGATACGCTGGGTGTGCTGCAGCTCTGATGGCCGCAGGGGCTGCCATGAACATACCTGCCCATGTCAACTCCCCGTGCCTGGTCTCCTTTTCTGCACCTCCTGGCCTGGATGTTCCTCCGGAGCCATCTTGGCTGGGGTTGGTCCTGCTGCTTCTTGGAGCCTTTGCCACCTGTCAATTGCTCGTTGTCTCCTGAAGCAGCTGGATACCTCCCGACTTCAGTCTCTGCCTGTCCCGTGGCTTCTGTTTTCCCTCTGCTTGGTGCCTCTCAGCCCTGAGCCCGCGTAGGAGTTCGTGCTGCCTCTTTTCTGACAACCTCTTTCTTCTTTGTACAATAGCTTCCATGACACTGGGATTCCTAGAGGTGAGAAAGATCAACTAGCAGGCCCATGGAGTTGGCTAACGCAATGCGGGTCCTTCCTTGCTGTCTCTTCTGCCTCTTCCCTGATTCTTTTCTCACACATGTTACAGGCTGCCTGGCATCGTGCCCAGTACTCAGGAGTGGATTTGCTGGCCACAGCAGGGCCATAAGGGTCTCTCCTGACTCCTGCTCCTTATACTGCGTGTTCCTCACCGCTGCTGGTCACCCACCAGATCTTCAATTTCTCTCCTGCCCTAGTGGCCTGATTCAGTGTTTGGCCCTCTAGGGCCGAATTCCCTTGCACGTTTCTCCCCCGCCCTCTCCTTATGTTCGTCACGTGCAGAAGCCGCTTGTCAGTGCTTGTCCCTTTTCTCCCCTACCCCCGCCCCACCTTTGGGCGTTGACTGGCCTCTGTGCACTTCCCATCTCCCTGCATGTTGCCAGCATGCGCCAAATCAAGGCCTGCGGTCTATGGTGCTTGATTTGTTGCTTCCCTTTAGTTATTCCCTCCACGCCTTCCAACCAGGAACCCGAGAGTGCTTTGCAGACACCAGCTGAACCTCAGTTGACCCGTGTATGTTTCTAGAGGCGAACTGAATCGCACAGTCAAGTCACTAACCTATGGGAACAGAACCCAGGAGTCCTGCCTTCCATCCCCATCTCGACCCACTAGCCAATCCTCTTGCCTGCAAGCTAAACCACATTTCTACCTCCACCACCCATGTCTGGTTACGACTGTTCTGTGGCCTGTTACTCAGCCAGTTTAACTTTGTGTTTCCTCATCAGTAAAACATTCGCTGCCCCCTTGCTGCATTGTACCGACAGCTGCTTTG